TTCTAATTCTTGTCTTTTTTTAAAAATGTAAAAAGTAGACAGTACAGATAACTGTGTGAAAATGTAAAGAGTACTAGTAAAAAGTAGTTTGAAAAATAATTACTCAAGTAAAGTACATATACCCAAAAATTCTACTTAAGTACAGTAAAGCTGTATTTGTACTTAGTTACTTTACAACTCTGCTTTTATGTTGGTCCGGGCTGCACTTTTTAGCTCTGTCATTTGTGTTTTCTCAGCAGGACGTGGTTATAAATAAATAATAACCAAGTTTTGACATTTATAAATCGATTTAGAATTGCTTGTTTGCATCACAATGCATTAAGAAGAAAACTAAATTAGTACAGTTGTGTGTCTTCATGTATTTAATGATCGCTGCACAGTTTTAGTAAACAGATGGATGCTTTATGACGCAGGAACAAAAAAAAATGTTCATTGAGAAAGTGCTGCTGGACTCAGAAACCCAGAGGTGCAGTTTTATTTTTTTTTTTTTTTTATAAAGAACCTGATCTCATCTCTCAAACACTCTGAGAGCTGGTGAGGTTGGACTGCTGGAGGAGGTTTTCCAGCAGCAGCGTTTTCAGTTTCACATTGTGGAGAGTGTCTTTTCTGAGATGAGCTGAGAGGTTTGTGGCAGCTTAACGGCAGTAATGGGGCCCATTTTCACTCTTATTTCCCCAGCAGACTGGAATCACACTGAGACGCGACAGACAGCCTTTAATAAGCACGCTGGTTTTTGTTGGGGTTACCTGGGGTTTGGTGGAGGCTGGAGGCGGCGCTGGGGGATGCTCGCTCATCACCGTGGTAACCATGGAGGAGCCAGAGCCAAGGAGGCTAATGAAGGGGGAGGGGGGTTCATTGGGTGGGGTCACGCCGAGGAAGGGGGAGGGGGCTGATGAGGACGAGGAGGGGGGAGGATCTTCGATTCGGTCTCTGTCTTTAAACGCCAAGCTCAGCCCGGGCTCTGAAGGAAACCCTGGACATAAAAATATACAAAAAAATATTTTACAAGCAAAAAACATATTTAGTTTTATAAAAACTAATATTGTTTTTATTATAAAACAGACAGTATGATAAAGAGATTACAATGAAATGTGCTGTCTCCTAACCTCATCACAACAAAGACCACACAGAGAAATCATATCAACTGGAAGTGGAAATCAATTCTCCAGGACTGAAACTGAAAATTAAAATTTTTATTGCGTTTCACAGATCTTCTGTTTCTGCATCAACTCTGTGTGGGTGAGACCAAACAAAATACAATATATGGTACTCATAAAATTCAAACCTTACATCTGTTATAGCTTTTTGCTTCTTTCTTCTACCTGTTTTATATTTTATCCTGTTTACATTTTGCTTCCTGTGCTATTACTGATAAACAGTTGAAAGGGTTTTTCTTTATTACATTACATTAAAGTTCATTGTGTGTGTATCAAATAAAGTTTTGAGTACATTACAAATGTTGGTACAAAATGTGTTTTCTACAGAAACAGGAAAGCAAGCGATGAGAACTGGCCTGCCTCRAGGCCAGTTCTGTAAGATAAGGTTGGCTTCGCTGTCAAGAAACTGCTTGTGAGCAGTTTCTGCTAAGATTAATTGTTGAAAACTCCAGTCTCCCACATTCTTGAAAGTTTCCACTACCCAGGACAAAAACAAGTATTCATGGTTTTTTATAAGACGCCGTAACCCCAGTAACAG